CTGGCAGAGTGGCTCCAGAAGTAAGAGGTCCTGCCTAGCAAGCCTGAGACCTGAGTTCAAACCCTAGTACCATCAAAAAAAAATTTTTTTAATTAAATTTAAAAAAAGAATAAAAGACATAAGTGGGCATATCCTACACATTCCCTAACTAGCCTCAAATTCCTGAAGAGCAAATAAGACTGGGCCTATATAATTCATCATTTTACACCTAATAACGTGTTGAGGACTTAGCACACAGTAATTACCCCATAAATACATAGAGGATAGATGGACAAGCATAAAATAAACTTGAAACAAAAGTAAAAAGGAGCCGGGTATTGTGTCATACCTGTAATCCTTACAGGAGTTAGAAGCCAGTGCGAGGGAAAATTTTTGAGAGATCTCCATCTCAAACAATAAGTTGGGTGTGGTGGTGTGCACCTGTCATCCCAACCATGAGGGAAGCATAAGTAGGAAGATCACAGTCCAGGCCCACCCAGGCATAAATGCAAGACCCTATCTCAAAAATAACCAAAGCAGTGGTAGAATGCCTGCCTCTCAAGGGTGAAGACCTGAGTTCAAACCCCAGCACTGCCCAAAAACAAACAAACAAAATAACCAAAGCAAAAAGGGCTGCTGGAGTGGCTCAATTTGTAGAGTACCTACCTAGCAAGCATAAGACCTTGAGTTCAAACCCCAGTACCACCAAAATAATGTCCAAGACAGCTCCCCAAGCAAAGAATGACCACAAGCATTAACAGTACAGAGGTTGAGAAACTCTAATCTAGAGGATAAATACAAGACCCAACTGAAGCCAACAGAAAGTCAACCCCAAGCCAGGCACCGGTGGCTCACGCCTGCAAGCCTAGCTACTCAGGAGGTAGAGATCAGAAGGATCGTGGTCAAAGCCAGCCCAAGCAAATAGTTCACGAGGCCCTATCTTGGAAAAAACCCTTGACAAAAAAGGGCTGGTGGAGTGGCTCAAGGTATAGGCTATAAGCACCACAAAAAAAAAAAAAAAATAGAAAGAAAATATTCAGTATAACTAGAGAAAAGGTTAGATCAAAAAGAATTGACTTAGAAGGTAACACACACGCACAGGAAATTAATGTGAGTCAACTCCCTGTATAGCTATCCTTATCTCTACCAGCAAAAACCCTTGTTCCTTCCTATTATTGCTTATACTCTCTCTTCAACAAAATTAGAGATAAGGGCAAAATAGTTTCTGCCAGGTATTGGGGGGGGCGGAGTGGGCGGTAAGGGAGGGGGAGAGGGCAGGGGGGAGAAATGACCCAAGCCTTGTATGCACATATGAATAATAAAACAATAAAAAAAAAGAAAAGAAAATATTCAGTATAAAAAAGGGCTGGTGGAGTGGCTCAAGTGGTAGAGCACCTGCCTGGCATATATGAGGCCCTGAGTTCAGGCTCCCATTCCACCAAGAGAAAAATCAACCCCAAAACTAGAAGTTTCTCTCTTCTTGGACAGTGGAATATGGTCTATGACCTTTGTACTTATTTCACTAACACAGAGGAGTATGGAGTAGGAAGTGGAGCCTAAGGAAGAAACAGATGTCAAGAGAGAAACTGTAGAAGTAAAGGGAAACTGAGTCTGATCACCTCATTTGAGCTCCTAGGTCCTGAAGCTGGTCCTTTTTATTAATATGAGCTAATAAACTTCTTTTTTGTTTAAGCCAGGTGAGTTGACTTTCCTCTCATTTCCAACCAAGAGTATTCCAGTTGACTCTCACACCTACAATCCCAGCTACTTGGGGGCAGAGATCAGGAGGATCATAGCTCGAAGCCAGCCTGGGCAAAAATTATCAAGAAACCATTTCAACCAACAAGCCACGTGTGGCGGTGCAAGCTTGTGATTCCAGCTGTGCTGGAGGCATAGGTATGGAAGTCCAGGCAGATCCTGGGCGAAAAGCGAGACCCTGTTTGAAACATAAATAAAGCAAAAAGGCTGGTAAAAGCTGGTAGAGCGAGCAATCACAAGACCCTGAGTTCAAACCTCATGCCTGCAAAACCAAATTCCATCTTTCTTTCTGGGTTAGTCAGCTTGCCATCACTGTGACAAAAATACCTGAGAAAATCAACTTAAGGAGAAAAGGTTTCTTGAAGATGTGGCTCAAGTGCCTGCTTTGGGAAGCATAAAGTCCTGAGTTCAAATCCCAGACCCACAAAGAAGAAAAAGAAAAGGAAGGAAGGAAGAAAAGAAGGAAAGAAAGAAAGAAAAATGGTCCCAAAGTCTCCTTCAATGACCTCCCATTGACCAGGCCCACCTCTAAAAGTTTCTACCATCTCCCAAGTGCAATGGGATGGGGACCAATCTTTGGACACATGGGCCTTTAGGGAACTCTCAAGATCCAAACTGTAGGCTGAGCATGGTGGTATATGCCTGTAATCCCAGCATCCAGGAGGCTGAGGTAGGAGATTCTCAAGTTTGAGGCCAGCCTGGGGTACAAAAGGAGACTCAAAAAAAAAGAAAGAAAGAAAGAAAAGAAAAACGATCCAAACTATAGGGCTGAAATGTAGCTCAGTAGTAGAACACTTGCCTACCAAGCAGAAGGCCTTGGTTCAATCCTCAGCACCACTAAAAAAACAAAAAAAGTCCAAATTATAGCATTTTCCTAGAAGGCCCTAGTATAAACACTGCCTTGTCTTGGAACATAGTTGCTTGCAAGAAACAGATTGGCATATGCAAAAAGATATGTTAGATGACTTGGGTCACAGCCACAACCCAAGAGAGCAGGAAGTAAAGGCAAGATTCATGTAGGACTGGAGGTGTGGCTTAAGCAGCAGAGTGCCTGCTTGCAAGCCGAAGCCCCTGAGTTCAAATCCAAGTTCCACTGAATAAGAAAAAAAAAAAGAAGAAGAAGATTCATGTAGAACCAGCATCAGGTACTTACATGGCAATTAAGAATATGTGTTGACAATGGAATTTTACTCAGCCATGAAGAAGAATGAAATCTTATCATTCGCAAGTAAATGGATGGAACTAGACAACATCATCTTAAGCAAAGTTAGCCAGGCTCAGAAAACCAAAAATCATATGTTTTCCCTCATATGTGGACTTTAGATCTAAAACAAATGCAGTAATATTATTGGACTTAGGTCACACGCTAAGGGGAAAACACATACAGGAGGAATAGGGAAAGGTAGGAAACCCAAAACTTGAAGAAAAAGAAAGAAGCTGGACACCGGTGGCTCACACCTGTAATTCCAGATACTAAGGAGACAGAGATCAGGAGGATCATGGTTCAAAGCCAGCCTGGGCAAATAGTCCCAGGGAAGCTACCTCAAGAAAAAAAAAGGAGAAGAAAGTGTTTGATGTCCCCACTACAGAGGAGCTAATACAGTAATCTTAAAGTGACAGAGGTCAATGTGGGAAGGTGACCAGGAGGTAGTGAAGAGGTCTGGTAAGAGATGAATCAATTTGGGTTGTAATACACTTGTGCATGGAAGCAATGCTAGGAATCTCTCTGTATAGTTATCCTTATCTCAACTAGCAAAAACACTATGTATGTCTTTCTTATTATGGCTTATGTCTACTCTTCAACAAAATTGGAGAAAAGGGCAGAACAGGTTCTGCCTGGAAGCGACAGGGGAGGGTGGAGAGAGGGAGGGTGCAGCGGGCAGGGATGAGAAATGTCCCAAACAATGTATGCACATATGAATAAATGAAGAAAAAAAAGAATAAAGCCAACTCAAAGGACAACAGAAGGAAAGACAGACAAAGACATTCTTGAGAAATGTTTTAGCTATGCCTCGAAGCCAGTAAATCTCTAACATATTTAAGTTATATGAGTCTGGAAATAGGGTTAAAGATGACTAGAAGCTTACACTTGTAATTCCAGCTCTTTGGGAGGCAGAGATCAGGATGACTGTGGCTGGAGACCACCCCAGGCAAAAAAAAAAAAGAATGTGTTGAGCCTGTTGTGGTGGCTGGCGACTGTAATCCTAGCTGCTCAGGAGGCAGAGGTTCAAACCCAGCCCCAGCAAATAGCTGGTGAGACTCTGTCTTGAAAAAACCCATCACAAAAAAGGGGTGGTTGAGTGACTTAAGGTGTAGGCCCTGAGTTCATAAAATAACCACAAATAAAAGAAAAAGAATACATGTTGACCTCAATGGAATGAAAGCTTAACTGGAATTGATACTGCATCTGGAACTGAGATCCTTCAGCCCTCAGGAGCGAAACTGAGCTCTCAATCCTGATTGTCCCAGCTTATTAACCTTCATGCCATCTCCGTCATATCATCAGACAGAGCCCAGGGCTAGGGGTATTGCTCAGTGGCAGATTGCAGGCCGAGCATGCACAAATGTGCAAGGCCCTCAGTTTGATCCCCAGCACTGCAAACACCCACAAGAAAAAGAAAAAGGAAAGGCAGGAAATTAAATGGTACCCACTGTCCCAAATTGGCCACATATATACAATATATACATATATGTGTGTGTGTATAATTTTTTTTGGTGCTGGGGATGGAACTCAGGACCTGATGCGTGCTTGACAAGCACTCTAACCATTAAGCCACATCCCCAGTGCACCAATGTTTTAATCTTCCGGTGACCTAAAAAGCTCTACTGCAGAATGTGCAGGTGCACACCTATAATTCCAGCACTAAGGAGGCTGAGGATCAAGAGTACAAAGCCAGCCTGGGCTACATATGGAAACTCTGCCTCAAAAAAAAAAAAAAAGAAAGAAAGAAAAAGAAAAAAGCTGGACACTGGTGGCTCACACCTATAATTCCAGCTGCTCAGGAGACAGAGATCAGGAGGATCATGGTTTGAAGCCAGGCTGGGCAAACAGTCCCAGAGACCCTATCTCAAATAAATAAATAAATAAATAAAATAAGGGACTCTGATTGGCTCATCTTAAGTCAGGTAACTACCTCTGACCCAATCAGAGGAAATGAGGAAGCATGAGTGGGCAGGCAAGCCAAATGGATTTATCCCATCATAGGAGCTCACTTAGCCCTAGGGTGGCAGAAGCCCAGCCACTATCAGTTTCTATCTTACCTAGGCACAGACCAATGACAGTGTGTTAACTATTCCTTTATTAGGTGGTGAGAGGGATTGGACTATACAGTGCAGGGCCTGGGAATTCAGCTACACAAAAGCCATATTACAAAAATAGCCTAAAAAATACTTCTATTTCTCCTGTGAAGCTGGGAAAGGCAAGTACCAGAAGGAAGGGGTGCCACCCAAGCAGTTCCTTCCCTTGCCTGCAGTCCGTATTTACAGGGAGACAAAGTGAATTGTACACATCTCCCCGGGTCCCCATTTCCCATCAGCTACCCCCACCTCCCGCCCAGTTCCCAAAAGGAGGTGGCCCAGGCTCTGGGAGGGTGGGAGGCCTGGAGGGGTGTCTCAGGACAGAAGGGCCCTTCCCCAGCAAGGTTACAGAACAAGTCTCATTTGGAATGCAGTGAAGTGAAGGAGGGGGATGGGGAGGAGGCACCCAAGTCTCCCCTGACCCCTGGCCCCAGAGGACGTGCCCAAGGGTGGCTACTTGGTACATACCAGGGCCAAGTGTACTCGGTACACAGTCCTGGTTGTTCCTGTGTACTCGGTACACAGAATCCTGCTTGGCCGAATAGGCCCACAGACTCAGCCCCACGGGGGCACTGGGGATTCACAGGGGGGAGGAGCATCTCCACATAGATATATATATGTATATATATATATTTTGTAAAAAATAATAATAATAATGTTTGTTTAAATGAATTTGTTTCTATACAAAATGTAAAAAAAAAAAAAGGAAATAATAATAATTCACTCGTGTCAGAGTGTGGGAAAATAAGAGGCAAGAAAGGAAGGAGGGAGAAAAGAGCTGGGGGGCAGGGAGGGGAGACAAGACTGAGAGGGTGGGAGGTCATCCCCCACCCATTATAAATAAAGGAAGACTAAGGGTCTGGGCTGGTGACCGTCCTGGTCACACTGAAAGGCAGGAATCAAAAGGGTTGATGGAGAGAGAAGAACGTGAATGACTAAAAGGGAAGAAGAGTGGAGTCAGGATAGGGTGTCTCTCAGCCCCCAGGATCCAAGAACTGAGAGCATTTCAGGCCAACACCTGCCTCTTAGGGGTGACTTCCGGCTGGGGCCCCAGCTGGGTCTGGGCCTGAGACAGGGAACTAGGGACAGACAAGGGGTGTGGCTGGGCAGGCAGTGCCCCAGTGGCTGTGGCCGTGGCAGTAGCTGGGCTAGGCGTGGAGTCGGACCAGTCCGAGAGAGAGGGAGGAGATGGGCTGGCCCAATGCTCGGGGGATTCAGGGGACGGGGTCAGGTATGGGTGCTCATTGGGGACCCTCAGGAAGCGACCCTTGGTGGGGCTGCTGTGGGCTCCCACTGCTGGGTATTCCTCGCCATGTCCTGGCGCTGCCAGGTAGGGTGGTGGCCGCTCCTGGGGAGAGACAGGAGTCCCCGGATTAAGCAGCTGGGGTCCTGGAGCCAGGGGTAGCAGGAATGAGGGCCCTGGGGGGGCAGGTGGGGGCAGCCGGGCCCAGTCGAGAGGGACAGCAACGGGATTCAGCAGGCCCAGGCTGAGCACACAGCCCCCAGGAGGCTGGCGCCCTAGAGGACCTGCGCGGCCTGTGCCACCAAGCTGTGCCAAGGACACTGCAGTGGCTGCGGCAGCTGCATAGGGACCCTCTAGGGGGAAACCTCCAGGGGAAGCGGGGGGACCACCGAAGGGCCTCGGGGAGTCCAGTGAGTCCACAGGTGACAATGTGACAGAGCTATCTGCCAGGGGACCAGGACAGGCCAGGGTCAGCTTCTTGCCCCGTCCCCGGGTCCCCTGTGGTCCCAACCCTGCCTTCCCCAGGGGCCTCCGGCTCTTCTTGGACCCCGACTGTGCAGCCTTGAGGCCAGGGAGGAAGGCCCCAGGTGGGCAGAGCAGGGGCCCCAGGCCATGGGGACCAGGGGGACTGCGCGGCCCGCTGGGCTGGTCCAGCAACCGCACGATGTCCTGGTGCAGCCGTTCCTGGGCCACATCCCGTGGCAGCCTGTCCAGGTGATCGGTGATCTCCCGGTTGGCAAAATGATCCAAGAGCAGCTTGGCAGCCTCATAGCTACCCTCCCTGGCGGCCAGGAACAGTGGAGTCTCTTCCTGAGGTGGGGGGAGGGGCAGAACACACAGATGTCAAGGTCACCTTGGCCAAGATCAGCAAGGTCTCCAGCCTCTGGGGAGCTTGCTAAGCATTAATACCCTGGAGCTTAAAATGGACCTCATTTCAAATCCCAGCTCTGCTGTGGAAACATGAGCAAGTTCTTTTCTTTAAACCACATTCATTCAGCAGGTGTCAGGACACAGCTAACCTTAAACACAAAATTTAAAAGGTCATCAAAAACTTCGGTCATCAGGCTGGGTGCCGGTGGCTCACACCTATAATCCTAGCTACTTGGAAGACTGAGTTCAGGAGGATCACTATTCCAGCCCAGTGTTTGCGAGACCCCCATCTCCAAAATAACCAGAGCAAAAAGGACTGGAGGTATGGCTCAAGCAGTAGAACGCCTGATTTGCAAGTGTAAGGCCCTGAGTTCAAAACCCAGTCCCCCTATTTATTAAATAAAATAACAATACTAGCACCCTAACAGTTAACTCTCACTGAGGAGCCATGGGTATTGTTTCCCTACTTTGCAGATGAGGACACTGAGTTTCAGAGAAATTAGGCAATTTGCCTGAGGTTACACAGCAACTGCCAAAACCTTCTTTGATCCGCTGTTGGAGCCTCTTGGTGCTAAATTCCACCCCTTAAAAGATAGTTGCAGGCAAGGTGAATGTCCCCACCAGTTTTTTTTTTTCTCCATCCTGCTTTCTGCCACCTGTGGGGACTGTGGACCCCAGATGAGCTGAGGGCCAGGACTCACCTTGCTATCCTGCATGTCCTTGTTGGCTCCATTTTTGAGTAGAGCCAAGGTGGCCTCCACGTTGTTCACAGCTGCAGCCCAGTGTAAGGCTGACTTCCCTGGAGGATGGTAAAAGTCAGGATCAGGCCCAAGTTCATGTCCCTGGTTTCCTATCATGGGGAGCAGGGGACAGAAAGTACCTAGAAAATAGACTGGCAAAGGGTAGGAGGGTGACAGGCCAGCCATGAATTTCTGAGCACCTGTGTTTAAGTCTGTGTATATGTAGATCTGCATAACAACTCTTCTTAGTACTCTGTGTGTATATTTGTGTGTGTGTGTGTGTGTGTGTGTTTGCACACATATGACTCTCCACACACAGGAGGCTCTACATGGATCTCACTTGGTTGAATCCAGTCCTGTGCTATACAATGTAATAGCCACCAGTCACCTGGGCATTTGTGGCTCACACCTGTAATCCTAGCTACTTGGGAGTCTGAGATCAGAAGGATCAAGGTTTGAGGCCAGCCAACACAAATAGTTCAAGAGACCTCATCTCCAAATTAACCAGAGCAAAATGGAATGGAGGTGTGGCTCAAGTGGTAGAGTGTCTGCTTTACAAGCATGAAGCCCTGTGCTCAAACCCCAGTCCCACCAAAAAAAAAAAAAAAAAAAAAGAAAAGCCACCAGTTACACGCGGCTCTTCCACTAATTAAAATTAAATGAAATAGGTGCCAAGAATATTCAATAGGAAGAAGAGTCTTCTCAGATAATTGTACTGGTACAACTGGATTGCCATATAAAAAAAGAATGAAGTTGAATCCCTATCTCACACCATATACAAAAGGTAACTCAAAATGAATCAGAGATCTAAATGTAAGAACTCACACTATACAACCTCTAGAATAAACTTGAAGTAAATCTTCATGATCTGATTTAGGCAAAAGTGCCTCAGTTTTGACACCGAACACATAAGCAAAAAGAACAATAACAAAATAGACACATTGTATATTGTCGAAATTAAAATTTTTGTTCTTCAAGGACACCATCGAGAAAGTAAAAAGAGCCAAGGGCCTGTGGCTCACACCTATTATCCTAGCTACTTAAGAGGCAGAGATCAGGAGGATCAAGGTTCCAGGTCAGACCAGGCAAATAGTTCATAAGACCCAATCTCAAAAAATCCATCACAAAAAAAAGAAATGGCAGAATGGCTCAAGTGGTAGAGCACCTGCCTAGCAAGTGTGAGTCCCTGAGTTCAAACCCCAGTACCAAAAAAAAAAAATGAAGAAGTGATCCACACTATGACATGGATGAACCTTGAAAACATGATGCTGGGTCAAAGAAGTCAGACATAAAAGACCACATGGATGTTACGCACTGAAACATCCAGAACAGGCAAATCCACAGTGGCAAAAAAGTACAATTGCCTAGGGCTGGAGAGATGAGGAGATTGGTAGATGATGGTTAAAAAGTAAAAGTTTTTTTTTTTCAGGTGATCTAAAATGTTACAAAAATAGCTTGTGGCAATGGTTGCACAACTCTGTAATTACACGAAAAGTCACTGTATGTTACAATCCCCAGTAAAATAAATAAATAATGAAAGCCACTGAATTTATACTCTTTGCATATGAGGTTGGAGGGGGAAGGGGACATGAAGTGGTGTTAGGGCCTTGCATATACATGCATTCTACCACTGAGCTATACATCCCCAATCCAAACTTTAGACTTTATATAGGTGAATTATAAGGTATGTGAATTATCACCCAACAAATCTGTACATATTTTTTGGTAGAGCACCTGCTTTGCAAGCACAAAGCCCTGAGTTCAAACCCAAGTCCCACCAAAAAAAAAAAAAAAAATATATATATATATATATAGTAAATATTTCTAAAAGCAAGCAAAAACAAACATTTTTTAAAATTAAAGAACACTTAGTTTAATTTTTTTTTTGGAGGGGGGAGGCAGGCTGGGTTTGATCTGGTTTTGGTTTTCTGTGACAGGGTCTTGCTGTGTAGCCCAGGCTGGTCTTGAACTAAACAGCCACCATGTGTGGCCTGTGGCTACAAAATCAGACAGGGCAGACAGAGAACATTTCTTTTCCATTATCACAGAAAGTTCCAGTGGCCAGCACTGCTCCACAGCTGTGGACGATTTTCCCTCTGGAGCTACTCGGTTGTCACACCTCAAGGATGGGATGGGACTGACCTCTAGTGGATCAAGTCTAGGATGCTGCTCTGCACCCTACAGTGCAACCAGGAATTATTTATCCAACCCCAAATGTCAATGGTGCTGAGGTGGAGAACACCTGCTCCAAAAGATGTCTGTGAGTGTCAGTACATCTGTGGCTGTGTGAGATCCTCTGGGCACAAGGACAGGTCGTGGTGATCTGGGGCCTTTGGGGCTTACAGACAGGCTCAGTTTGCAGGTTTATTACAACTGTCCACCAGGTGGCAATACAATGAATTCTTCCAACAAAGCAGATGCCGCTCAGTGGTAGAGCACTTGCCTAGCATGCACAAGACCCAGAGTTCCATCCCCAGCACCGCAAAAACCAGAAAAGCATATGAAAATCAAGTGTCCTGAGGAAGACATCTTTTTATAAATCCCTGAGGCACCCTAGGCGTAAATGTGTTAAGTACACTTGGGAGCCCACTCAGGTGTGCATAGGTTTTAGTGTTAGGGTCCCAACATGGGTGTGAGTTCACACCAACAGGACACGCAGGGCCTGGGTGACCCAGCCCCCACCCACCATTTCCTGCGTCAACCTACCCAACTCATCCACAGCATTGACATCAGCGTGGCTGGCGATCAGCTCTTCCACCATGCCCTCCACCGCCAGACGGGCCGCCAGGATCAGTGCGGTGGAGCCGTCCGCCATGCGGGCATCCAGGTCCGTGGAGCGGTTCCGAATGAGGATCTAGCAAAGGGAATACAGCAGAGGAGTGACGGCAGGGACAGAGGGACCAGGAATATCCCTAAGCCCCTCCAGGTTCCCAACCCCCGTGGCCCCTGGAATCAGATGGTCTTTGAGTTACAACGGGAAGACATCCCCCTAATCCCATTGCAAATTGAAAATATCCTAAATCCAACTTGGGGTGTAGCTCAGTGGTAGAGGAGGTGCCTAGCATGTACCTGACCCTGGGTTCAATCCCCAGTACGGCAAAAAAAAAGAAAAAAAGAAGGAGGCCTATATTGAATCTGTCCCCAATTTTGCCAAAACTGTAAAACAAATACACTTTCCCGGTTTATTTTTTAAAATAAAAATCTCATGCAATTGAATACAGCACAGAAAGTGAAAACCAAAACAGCTGTATGGGCACAGTTCTGTGACATCATAAAACTGATAAATTTTCTTAAGTCAGGCACCTTTGGCCTTGCCAGACATCAGGTACTCAAGTCGATCCCCATTTGACAAATGAGAAAAAAAAAACAAGCTCTGAAAGACAGATCCAGGACTCGAACCCACACGTGTCTGATGCCCACTCAACGCCCATGTCCACCGAGGTGGACCTGTCTCACCTGAAAGACGCCCTGGGCGTCAGCGGTGACAGCTGTGTGCAGCGGGGTGCGGCCTGAGTGATCTTGAGCGTTGGTGTCCGCTCCAGCATCCAGCAGCCTCTTGGCGGCATCGGCCCGGGCATAGCGGGCAGCCAGGTGCAGGGCAGTCTCACCTGTGCGGTCAGTTCGAGCCCCGAGCTGTGCCCCCTGGCAGATCAGGTCCGAGATGATGCTAGCTGATGTGTCATCGGCCTCATCCTCCTCGGTGGGCATTGGCTCCAGGGCTCCTCCACAGAAGGAGGCCAGCATGAGCGGGGTGAAGCCATCTGTAGGGAACAAGAATGTGTCATAAAGCCATCTTGGCCTTTCCAGGAGGTAATGTCAAGAGCACGGTATTAGGAGCAAGTAGAACACACAGAAAGAGTGGCAAATTCTCCCATCTGCATAGCCACCCTTCATGACGTGTGATTTACCACAGAAGAGCAGGAGCATGCGTCCTAGTCTTCCTTAGGGAATGACATGGAGCCCGTCATATTCTCCAGTCTCAAACCTTGGCCCTCAGGCACGAAAGTGGACCAGGACTGGTTAATCTGCATATTCCCATTCTAGCAACACTGAATGACTCCAGGATGAGCCAACTGGATGTGAGCTTAGTCCATCCAATCAGAATGCATTCTGAGATTTGCTGGACCAGTTGGGAAGAAGGTTTTGTAAGGCTGGAGCTAAGTAGGCAGCAGAATACCAAATCCAAGATCCAAATATGCCAGCTGCCTCCAGTTCCATGCCAGCCAGTAATGCCTTGATTTACTTAAGCTAGTTTGGGATGAGCTTTCTTTTTTTTTAATAGGACTGGGGTTTTGAACTCAGGGCTTGCAAAGCAGGTGCTGTATTGCTTGAGCCACACCTCCACTCCAGTTTTATTCTGGTTATTTTGGACATAGGATTTCAGGAACTATTCGCCCTAGCTGGCCTCCTGATCTCAGCCTCCCAAGTAGCTAGGATTACAGGCATGAGTCACCAATGCCTGGCTTGAGTTGAGCTTTTCTCACTTAGAAACAAGAGTCAGGATTAACACACCCACTCCCCAGATCACAGAACCAAATGCACCCTATTCTCTGGGGAAGGACACTGACCTGGACCACGCACATTGACATCCATCCCGTCAGCGTCCACATCACCCTGTGGTGGTGTCAGGGCCATGGCTGGGGCCACACGGATGTCCGCAGCAACCAGGTGATGTTGGGTCCACTGGCGACAATCCACAGGTTCCTCAGCCCCCATGCCAGGCTCCTCTACCTGGAGGGACAGGGATCTTGGTTTTCACACCTCACCCTTGAGAGGTGGGAAGAGACACTACCAGAGACAGGGCTGGATAGCTCCAAAGGTTCATACAACCCTGAGAAACCATTAGCATCCTGCTTATCTTAGAGATAAGGAAGTGGGAAAAGGATGTGTTGGGGCTCAGGGAGCTAAGGAGAGAAGAAATGGAGATTCAATCTGGGTTGGAAGGAGGGAGAGGCTGGGAACCCAGCCTATGTGATGCACACATAGACACAAAACAAAGCACACTAGACATGAATGCACTAAAAATAAAATGATAAGAGCATTGAGAATAAGATATTTGGAGTTAAACTTAACAAAAGAAGTGCAGAACTCGTACCCTGGAAATTGTGAATTACTGGTAAAAGAAACATGGGGGGAGCAGGCAAAGTGGTACACACTTGTAATCCCAGCTACTCAAGCAGGAGGTTGAGACAGAGGGATCAAAATTCAAAGCCATACTGGGCAAAATAAAATAAGAAAGGGGCTAAGGGTGAGGCTCAGTAGTAGAGCACTTGCCTAACAAGTTCAACCCCCTAGGACCACAGAAAGAAAGAGAGAAAAGAGAGAAAGAGAAAGAAAAAGAGAGAGAAAGGGAGGGAGGGAGGGAGGGAGAGGAAAGGAAAGGAAGGAAGGAAGGAAGGAAGGAAGGAGAGGGAGGGAGGAGGAGGAAGGAAGGAAGGAAGGAAGGAAGGAAGGAAGAAAGGGAGGAAGGAAGGAAGGAAGGAAGGAAGGAAGGAAGGAAGGAAGGAAGGAAGGAAAGAAAGAAAACAAAGAATTATGGGGGTGAGGAACAGAATTAATCCCTCAAAGATTAATATTAATTGGCCAGGTGGCTTGAACCTGTAACCTTAACTACTTAGGAGGTGGAGACTGGGAGGCTTGAGGTTTGAGGCAAAGATAGGCAGAGTTCCAGAAATCCCATCTCAACCAATAAAACCTGGGCAAAGTGGTGTGCGCCTGTCATCCCAGCTACTTGGGAGGCATAAATAGGAGGATGGCAGTCCAGGCAGATGAGGAATAAACTTGAGAACCCTTCAAAAATAACCAAAGCAGAAGTCATTGGAGATATAGCTCAAGTGATAGATCACCTGCCAAGCAAGCACGAGGCCCTGAGTTCAAACACAGTACCACCAAAAAAAAAGTATTAATCTGAGAAAGGAGTGAATGGGTGGTTGGGAGGGAAAGAAGGTGACTGTCCACAAGCCAAGAAGAGACTTCTCACCAGGAACCAATCATGACAATCTCCAGAGCTGAGAGAAATAAATTTCTGTTGTTAAGTGACCTGGTCTCTGAGACTATGGTATGGCAGCCTGCTATGGTTGGGATGTGGTTTAAGGTGTCCCCTGAAGTTTCATGTGCTAGAAACTTTGTCCTTGATGACAGTGTTGAGAATGGTGGTACCTTAAAGAGGTGGGGCCTCATGGGTAGTAATTAGGTCATGGGAACACTGTCCTCGAAAGAGATTGATGGTCACACCAGCTACTCAGGAGGCTGATTCAGAAATGCTTGAGTCTAGGAGTTTTAGATAAGCCAGGGCTCATAGCAAGACCCCGTTAAAAAAAAAATTAAGATAGGGATTAATGTAACTCTCAAGGAATCCATCATGACTGTAATCCTAGCTAGTCAAGAGGCAGAAATCAAGAAGAACTCGGTTCAAAGTCAGCCCCAGGTAAATAATTCCTGAGACCCTATCTCAAAAAACACCCATCAAAAAAAAAAAAAAAAAGGCTGGCAGAGTAACTCCAGCAGTAAGAGTGCCTGTCTAGCAAGTGTGAGGCCCTGAGTTCAAAGAGTGGGTTATCATAAAAATGGTAAGCCGGGAGCCAGTGGCTCATGCTTGTAATCCTAGCTAATCAGGAGGCAGAGTCAGGAGGATCACGGTTCAAACTCAGCCTGGGGAATAGTTCAAGAGATCCTATCTCAAAAAAAAAAAAATCATAAAAAAAGAGCTGTTCGAGTGGCTTAAGGTACAGCCCCTGAGTTCAAACCCCGATATACAAACAATAAAACAGTGAGAGTTAGAATGTGGTGGTACACAGCACTTGAGAGGCAGAGACAAAAGGATCACAAGTTTGAGGCTAGCCTGAGTGATACACAGCAAGATCCTATCTCAAAACAAAGATCCTGTCTTAAAAAACAAAAAAATAGTAAAGTAAGCCCTTGAATTTCTCTCTGGCTTCCTGTCTCTTCTGCATGCATCCTGCTACTGTAAAGCCATCCACCATGAGGCCCTCACCACAGGCTGCACCAATGGAGCTGCCCAAATCTTGGATTTTCAGCCTCCAAAACTGTGAGCCAAATAAAGCTCTTTTCTCTATACATCACGCAGGCACAGGCATTTTGTTATAGTAACAGAAAATGGAACTGGCAGAGTGGTACAAGTGGTAGAATGCCTGCCTAGCAAGTGTGAGGCCCTGAGTTCAAAACTCCAGTACCACCAAAAAAGAAAAAGCAGAAAATGGACTAGAACACAGCTCAACCTGACTAATACAGAGGTCATGGGTGTGGCTTCAGGAGATAAAATATTGGTCAGGACTAGCTAGGGATACTTTTAGCATGGATACACTAGGCAAAGGCAGAACCAGCAGAGAAAGCAGTCACTGTCTAGACCGGGAGTTCCCTCTAGGATGACTCCAGACGGGCCTGGGAGCAGAAACCTGGTTGGGGAGGGGAAGGATTGAGTAGGAGAATTTCCACCCACCCAGAAAACCCTGGGGGCTCTCATGGCAAATCTTTCCTTCTCCAAGGCCATAGAGCCTCACGGAGAGAATGAGGTTGAAAAGCTGTGACTATTCTCTGAATATGGGGAGGTGCTGAGAGCAGAGACTCCCTTGGGCTCTACACTGACCATCAGGGCCCCCACTTAGAACCCGGAGGGCAGGAGTCAAGGGAGGGAGCAGCACCTTCAGTCGTTTGGCCTCTGGGCACTCGGTGTCCATCCAGTCTGTGGCTACCTCCCCCATCAGACTCTCGCCCTTGGTCATGTTCCTATAGGGGTCATAGGAAGAAAAGGATGTCAGAAAGACATTGGAAGCATTTGGCCTGGAACGAGGACTTGGTGTAGGGTCAGAGCAGAAGTTGTAGAGGTGAGGTCAAGGCTCTAGGGGTGAGATCCAGGCCTTGGATCAGTAGGTGCAGAGGGAGGTTTGAGAATCAGGTTCTATCCAGGCGCCAATGGCTCACTCCTGTAATTATAGCTACTTGGGTGGGTGAGATCAGGAGGACTGAGGTTCGAGACCAACCCAGGCAGTAGTTCAAGAGACAACCATCTCCAAAATAACTGGAGCAAAATGGACCAGACGTATGGCTCAAGCAGTAGAGTGCCTGCTTTGCAAATGCAAAGCTCTGGCTTCAAACCCCAGTCCCACCCCCCAAAAAAATACAGGTCCCAGTGGGGATGGGGAAGGATGGAGTTAAGGTCACAGGAGACATAGAGCAGAGATTCTGATGGTGACAGAGTCTTAAGGTAGAATCAGGGAAGGGACAGGAATGGGGTCTGGGGTCAGAGGTCAGAGCAATGGGTTAGGAATAGATAAGGGTCATAGGGTCATAGGCAAGGTTTATAGAGAAGGATGTCAGAGGTCATGAAGGATTGAAAAGGTTGTGGCGAGGGGTCAGGGATCATGCAGTCACATAGGAGGGTTAAATTAGAATGGGGTTAGAGGTCTTGGGAAACAAATCAAGTTAGAGGTGATGTCCAAGCATCATAGCGAATGAACACTGAGTGTTCAGGGGTCAGCAGTGAGGTCAAAGGTAAGAGAGGGTTGGACAAAGCCAGAGGTGGTGTTGGGGATCACAGAGGATAGGGTCAGGAGGTCAGAGAGGGGTTGGGATGCAGACAAGGGTCATGGGGTCAGCAGTCACGGGGGACGAATCAGGATGAAATCTGAGAGACCAGTTCAGGTTAGGATTTGAGTCAGGAAATGGGGACACAAGAAATATGATCAGGGGTGATTCTCACGGAGTCAATGGTCAAGAGGCTGAACACTGGGGTCCAGGATAGAGTGTCAAGTGAAGGTCAGGATGCAGTCAGAGGTCACAGTGAGACCAAGGTGGGGTCCAGAGGTCACAAGACCCCTATAGTCAGGGATAGGGAGCAGACAGGGTCCTCACTTCATGCCCAGTGCGTCTTGCCCCACAGGCTCCCGTCTGCCCTTGTGACCAGCTGCCATGTCCTTGTGTAGAGCGAAACCCTCGGGAAACCAGAGGGTGCTGTGCTCACGCTTGCGCCGGGCCACCATGACGCCCAGGACGAGGATGACCAGCAGGAAGATGGCACCAGCCACCAGCAGTGGCAGCAGCGGTACGCTCTGTTCAGGAGGCTCCAGAGGCTCCCCTGTTGGGAAGAGGCAGGAGGCGGGGCGTCAGCCGTGGGCGGGGCTTCGACCAAGGGGTGGGGCTGCAACCACCCCACCCCGCGGGGGCCTCACCTCGCACATCCCGCAGTGGGTAGGGGAAATCGAGGCGTTCCACCGCTGACAAGGCTCCCAGGTAGTCAGCCGCACTCTGGGCATCGGGGAAGCAGTGGTCATTCTCCGGAGACTGCAGGCAGAGCCGGTTGTCAATCTCCAGCATCACTACAGAGCTGTGGGGACAGAAGGAAGGGACCCGGGGACAGAAGGAAGGGACCCGAGGACTGAGCGGTTGTCTAGTCTAATGCATCCCAGGCACCAAGCCCCATCCTCCCTCCCCAGCGCCAAGTCCCTTCCCTGTGTTTCTACCACCTTCCTGCTCCCAGCTGGCATCCAATCTCACTGCCAAAAAAACACGTCTTGCTGTGCCCACCAGTGTTCCCAAAGCCACGCATCCAATGGTAACTCACCCAGCCTAGTGGGCTAATGCACCCACATCCCACAACGCTTTGAGTGTTGGCTCTCTGTGTGTGTGTGCCAGGGATTGAACGCAGGGCCTTGTGTATGCTAGCCAAGCACTCTATCACTGAGCTATACCCTCTGAGCTAATGCCCCTCAACCACTCCTTAGGTCTCAGTGTCCCCAGGCTCATTCTTCTGTTTTCTTCTCTTCCACTTCATTGAGTCTCTCCCCCAGCTTCAGCAATCATCAACACTCCTTTGTTTTTCTTGTTTCTGTCTTCAACCCCCAGCTGCCTCCTGGTAGCTACCGATATACCTATAGATCTTTCAGATTCTTCAAGCTTCCAAGGTGGTCCCCGTTTGTCACTCTGTGTCCTCAATCACTTTAGCCAAGGAAAAACCCAACAACCACTCTCCTCCATCTCTTCCACTCAGAGGTTGCATCCAATCAGAGCCCACCGTATACCCCATCCCAATATCTCTGAAGTACAGCCCTCTTTTCTGTGTCAGGGACTCATCCCCACAAATGCCATACACTCCCCATTCCCTTCCAACTCCTCTACTAGGTCACCAGTGGAACAGTTATACATTTGTCATTAATTAACAAAAAAGGAAGCCAGGCACTGGTGGCTCATGTCTGTAATCCCAGCTACTTGGGAGGCTGAGATCAGAAGGATTGAGATTGGAGGCTAGCCCAGACAAAAAGTTCGGGAGACCCCATCTCCAAAATAACCAAAGCAAAATGGACTGGAGGTAGGGCAGTCAAGTGGTAAAGCAAAGACTTGAGTTCAAACCCCAGTCTCACCAAAAAAAAAAAAAAAAGGAAAAAACCTACACATGCCCTTCACCACTCTGCTAAACCTAACTCTCCAGAAGTAGACAGCACTAGACCTGAAGTGCAATTCTGCCGCTGTCCCCCCAAGAGACACTTCCTCCTATCTGGAGGCATTTTTTACTGTCACCACTAGGGGATGGTGTTGCCTGCCATTGGAGCAGAGGCTGAAAAGCCTATGGGAGAGGCATTACCAAAGATCCAGAGCCTCCCTTAGTCACCATCGCTGCTCCAGGTGGAGTCACTCACCCGATCACCTCGGGGGCCAGCTCCCGCCGCGCTCGGGATTCCGAAGCAGGACTGGGCCGGTGGTAAGGGAAGACCATGGCCTGGCCGCGCGCGTCCAGGCGGAAGCGCAGCGAGGTGCGAAGGATGGCGCTAAGCCGCTGCAAGAAGTCGGCGCTGGAGCGCAGCAGCTCTTCGGGTGGCAGCAGCACGGTGAGCACCAGCACCCCGCGGGCAAGCAGGGCTGGAACCTCGCTGGCACAGTCCAGCCCATCCCAGCCACACTCCTCCGTGTTGCAGCCCTGGTCGCAGCGACCGTCAGCGAAGTGGTCAGCGCAGTACTTTTCATACACCGGACTGAATGAAGGCAGAGAAGGCAAGGTCAGGGGACCACCGACGACCAAATGCGCAGAACACGCCATGGGAGGCCTGCACGGGGACCATATGGCGGGCTTTCTGCAAATCCTGGATAGCTACAGGTCGAGAATTCCCTGATCTGAAATGCTTGGAACCAAAAGTATTTCTGAATTCAAATTTGTTTGGGTTTTAGAACATCTGCATAAATGAGCAAATAATAATCTATGTAAATACATGCAATGAAATATCTACATATAATTATACATCTATAATTAGACATACATATGCATATTCATAGATGGATGAATGGATGAATAGATACTTAAAATGAGATAGTTTAGGGAAGGACCCAAGTTTAAATACAAAATTCTATTATGGTTTTCTGTTTTTGTTTTTGTTTTGTTGTTTTGTTTTGGTTTTGGTTTTTCCATACTGGGGCTTGAACTCAGGGTCTTCACTTTGAGCCACTCTGCCAGCCCATTTTGTGATGGGTTTTTTTTTTCCAAGATAGGGTCTCACAAACTATTTGCCAGGACTGGTTTCGAACCATAACCCTCCTGATGTCTGTCTCCTAAGTAGCTACAGGAGTGAGCCACTGGTGCCCAGCTCTTTCATGTTTCATATGTACTTTATATGCATATCCTTAGAGTAACTTTACGTGAAATTTTTAGTAAGCCTGAGTTGTAGGGGATTTTTTGGCTTGTTTTATTATAGAGCTGGGGATGGAACCCAGGGTCTTACATATGCTAAGCAAGCGCTGTACCACTAAGCTACAAAACCAACCTGTACCTGACCTTGGACTATAACACTCCTTTCACCTCTGAGGTCAGGTATGGAATTTTCCACGGTACTGTCAGGTGTACTCAACAAGCTTCAGATTTGGGAGCATTTGGGATTTCAGATTTTTGCTTTATGGATGCTCAGTCTGTATCAATATATCACCTATTAACTGGCCACCTGCTATACATGCTGGGAGCTGTCACAGACACCAAGGACATGGGTCACACAAAAATCCTTGCCCAGAAGGAACTGGCATTGTAGTGGGTAGAGGCAGGCATTAAATGAGATGGATGTGCAGAACAGACAACGTTCCAATTACATGTCAATAAAAGCTAAGTATAGTTGGGTGCTGTAATCCTAGCTATTTGGGAAGCTGAGATCTGGGGGAATTGCAGCTCGAGGCCAGCCCAGGCAAACAGTTCATGAGACCCCCATCCCCAAAATAATCAGAGCAAAATGGACTGGAGGTGTTGGTCTAAGAGTAGAGTGCCTGCTTTGCAAGTACAAAGTCCTGAGTTCAAACCCCAGTCCCACTCCCCCCCCCAAAAAAAATGCTAAGGAGAAAAATAAAACAAGAAAATTCTTGAAAGTGACCATGGAGGAGCTCACAGAAATGACCCCACCTGAACAAAGGCTTGAAAGAGGTGCAGAGGGGCCATGTGGCTTCTTAGGGGAAGAGTAATTCAGGAACTGAGGACGGGCAGTGCAAAGGCCCTGAAGCAGGACCAAGTATAGGGTATCTACAGGACAGGAGAGGCCAAGGTAGGAACAGAATGAGCGAGGGAAGATCGAAAAGGATGAGGATGAGGAGATAAAGATAGGGAATGGTTCCAGACAGAGGGGTACACAAGACAGAAGACATAGAGCTTAGGGAAGGACAAATGGAATGTATGGGACATAGAGACAGAGGAACAAGAGAGGAAGGGATAGACAGGCAGGGAAGCATGGACAGATGGACAGACATATAGAGGGACACAAGGGAGTGCATGGGTAAACAGAAGGATGGACAGAAGAGGCACATGGGTGAACAGCTGGAGCACAGAATTGGGGAAAGAAATGGTGCATAGACAGGCAAATGAACAGATGAAGTCCAAAAACGGACAAGTAGGAGAGTGTAGACAGAAAGGAAAACAATTCATGGATAGGAAGACAAACACAGCATAAGGATGGACAGATGGAAGTGCATGACACTGGGATGGAAAGACACATGGACAGAGACAGGGCACACTGACGGAGACAGGACCCATGGGTGGTCAGATGTGACTCACTGACAAGACAGACTGGGGAAAATGGAGAGACAGACAGAAGCAGGGGCTCACTTGCAGGTGCGCTCGCGGCCACCCGTGTGGCAGTCGAAGTTGTCATACAGGCAGGCAGGCGAGCTGCAGGCGGGGTCGCAGCGGCTGTTGTTGAAGAGACGCCAGCACTGCAGAGCCTCGCACTGCCGCCAGGGGTCGCCCACGCTCAGCGAGCAGTCGCCCCCGTCCCAGCCGCAGCCCGGGGTGTTGCACTCGCGGTCGCAGCGCTGGTCCCCGCGCTTGGTCTGGCAGGTGGCTCGCGGGCACCGCGGCTCCTCGGAGACCTCGGGCACCGCCGCAGGGGTCTCGCAGCGCGGGCCAGCCCAGCCCGGAGCGCACGCACAGCGGAAGAAAGGGGCGAGCTGAGTAGGACGACAGGAGCCCCCGTGGAGACAAGGGACGGCTGCGCAGCTGGTGTTGGTGGCTCCCGGGAGTGACGCCCTGGAGCCACGGCAGGAAGGTCCAGACAGCCCCGGAGGACAGGCGCAGCGTGGCCCGCGGGCCGTCTGCTGGCACGGGACACCCACCGGGCACTGCAGCTCCCGGCAGGAGCGTGCCACCCGCTCACAACGTGGACCCCAGAATGGCTGCGGATGGGGTTGGGGAGAGAGAGAAAATTGGAGAAGGGAAGGAAAAGAAGAAGAGAAAACGGGAGGGTGGAGACGAGCGAGGGTCAAGAGAGGGAACAATGAAGGGTCAAGTTTTGGGAGACGCTGGTCCCCCAACCTTTCTCCAGTGGCCCCACTTTGCAGATAAGCCACGCCTCCCCAGGAGGCCACACCCCTTGCCCCCAACCTCACCCTGCTACTGGTCATTTCAGCATTTCACAGCATCCCCTTTCCCTTCCACTTTTCCCCTAAATCCACACCATTCCCTGAGGCCCCGGCCTCTTTTTTCCCCCAGGGACTGCCTGCCACCCATGCCACTCTACCTACCTGGACACAGTGGCAGGTGAAGGTCAGCCCACCCCCAGGACCTGAGCTGAGACGACACTGGCCTCCATGTTGGCATGGCTGGGATTCACAGGGAGATAGGACAGTCTGACAGCGGGGACCTGGACAAGCAGGGATGGGTGGATCAGCCACAATGAGGGACAAGAAGGGATCCAAGCCAGCCTTACCTCTCATGCTTACCTGTGAAGCCAGGATGACAAACACAGTGGAAGTGACCACCTGGGTCTTGCAGGCAGTCCCGGGTGTGTGCTGCATGGCAGACTCCCGGGCGACATTCATTGATATCTGCCTCACAGTGCAGACCAGTGTATCCTGGGGGGCAGTTACAGCGGAAGCCACCTATTAGGTCCACACAAGTGCCATTGTGTAGACACCGGGGGCCTGAGTCCAGGGGTGACCCTGGGTCACAGTTGTCCTCATTAATCTCACAGAGCACACCTGGGACAGGAGGGAAAGCAGTCAGTGGAGGGTAGAGACTCAGCCTCCTATCCTGTCCCCCCAACGCTGGACCTGCATACCTAGTGTCCCAGGGGGACAGGAGCAGAGATATCGGGCTACCAGATCAATGCAGGAACCTCCATGCTGGCAGGGCTGAGAGACACACTCATCCACATCATTCTCACAGTTGTCACCAGTGTAGCCAGCTGGACACTGTGTGGAACAAGAGAGGGACACACAGCCCTGAGGAATACCAACATATCTAGACACACCTATGAAGACACAGAATCCCAACACAAAAGGACACACACAGACGGGCAGTATACAGAGACATGCCTGGTAGACAGGACACATACACACAGACATATCCATTACAAGGAAATATACCCAGACCCGGAGGGCCACCAACACATGCCAAGTGCAAAAGGACACACATGTGCAAACTGTGAGAATCAACTAAAGTTAGGTCTTTTCTGTCAAAGGAGTTAATATAAAAATCAAAGACCTGTTTTTCTTAACTGAATAAGTTCCTGTTATCACCAGGTGTCCTAATTTTGAACTACTTGATGAGTAAAATGTCAGCCCTTGTCCCCTATCTTCAGGGGACCTTGAGAAATCACTTTCTCACTGAGCTATAAAAATGACACCATGTCAGAAAACCTTGCCCTTACCCTAAACCATAGCCAGTTGGGAAGATTGTGAACCCAAACCCATCCATCAGGGTGAGGGGCAGAGAGATAAAAACTGAGCTGACTCCCCACTCAGTGTGTTCTGCCTATCAGACTATGGTCTGTTGCTGCACCCTTCTGCAGAAGTAAAGCTTTTCTTTTTGCCTTGCTGAGTGACTCCCGAGTGTTTCTTTGATCATCATTTGGGAACGGCATTTCTAACAAAACACACAGGTAAAGCACCAGATGCCCCCAAGACACACACAACCAGGCACACACACAGACACTGCCACGTTCATAGCCAAGGAGACACCATGCCAGGGAAACCTCAAAGACAGGGCACATACAGATGAATGCAAACACCCCCAGTTCTACCCACACATCCACAAAGATATTCCCAGAGTCACAAAAGCAAAAACTCAGACACATGGGTTGGGGGTGTAGCTCGGTGATAGAGTACTTGCTTAGCATGCCTCAGGTGGATTCCATCTCCAGCACCACAAAAACAGTGTCACACAAACACACACACACACACACACACACACACACACACACATACACACACACAAATCAGATGCACCTAGAAAAGTCATACCCAACACCAGGCCACAGACACACAGAAACATGTGCCCCGTCACAGCCAAACATGACTAGCTTCTCTTCTCTCTCCCTGGGGTACACCCTTACCTCACACACATAGCCCCCCATGTAGCCACGGCAGGTGCCCCCATACTGGCAGGGCTGGGCCAAGCAGGGGTCCACCTCCTGCTCACAGTGGCTGCCGGTGCGGCCCTCAGTGCACACACAGTAGTGGGAGCTGTCTTCATCCATGCACTGCCCGCCTGCCTGACACAGCTGCTCCAACCGCACCCCTGAGAAGGAGGAAAGGGACATTAGGCACAGAGATGGCTATGCACTCCACCCTCTTTCTACCCACATCACCCAACATCCTTGCTGGCATCAGTCCCCAAGGGCTCACCCACATTCCATAGCTGACATACCCTGTCAGCTGGCACACTGTTACCAACATATACCCAACCTGATGCTCATACCAGTTCATTCACACACACCATCCCAGCTGTCTCATGGTGACACACGCCATCCTGGCAGGCTGTCACACAGTCACACACCCACATACACTCAGCCACACACCCCATCATGCCCATATGTTTAGGGGCACCCCCAATTCAGCTCACACTAGCAGGAGACACGATGCACATGCACCCTCGGGGAGGCCCCGCACACCCGACCACGTGCTCCCCCTCACCCATCTGAGCTGCAGCCTCCCTGCAGGGTAGGCTTCGGATGTCACAGAGGCGACCGCTCCATCCGGGGGGACAAAGGCAATAGGCCCCGGTCTGGACACAGCGACCACCGTTTTGACAGGGTGCCTGGCTGCACCAGTCTACCAGAGTCTAGAAAGGAAGCCCCTCACGGTCAGCTCTTCTCCCCTCAGGATGGAGGGCAGACCCGCCCCAGGCTCCTCCCACATGGCCCGTGGCCCCGCCCACCTGGCACTGACTGCCTGTGAAGCCCTCCGGGCAGGCGCAGCGAAACCCGGGTGGGTAGCGCTGCAGACGCCTCCGTGCAGACAAGGCCGCGAAAGGCAGGGGTCGACCTCATATTGGCAGTGGGCGCCGGTGTAGCCAGGGCGACACAAGCAGCTAAATGAGCTTATGCCGTCCACACAGGTCCCTCCATTGAAGCAGGAGCTTGGCGGTGGGGGGGAAGGGAGGGTGAGAGTCAAGCTCTGCGTCCTTGAAGACCTCCTAGAATTGGGGGCCTCCCAAAACTGACATTTAACCTCCACAAGAGGCTGCAACCCTGCAGAAGTCCAACTTCCATCCCTTAGCCTCGGTTTATCAAGTGCTTCAGCACTAATGTGGGAGCCATAGTCTGAAGTGACCTTGAAACAGACATCCTCCTCCTTTCTCAGGCCTTTCCTATGCGACAGCCCATCTGATGTCATCAGAGTCCTCAGACAGATGCCAAGCCAAGGACCCTCTCTCTTGTCCCCACTCCCATCTCAGGCCCTATGCCCACCCAATGCCCTGCCCACCTGGGGCTGCAGTCTGGCAGGTCCTTTTCGCAGTGGAAGCCTCCATAGCCCGGTGGGCAAGTGCATGTGAAGGATGCCAAGTGGTCAGTGCAGGTGCCAGGGCCACAGGGATTGCTCAGACACTCATCAACATCTCGGGCACAGCGTGGACCAGCAAAGCCAGGAAGGCAAGAGCAAGAAAAAGAGCCCACGCCGTCCTGACAGGAGCCACCATTGAGGCAGGGGTCTGGGGTCAGAAGGGAGGAGATCATTCGCCTTGCTCCCCATCATCAGTCTGCCCTGACCCTGCCATGCCTTGCATACAGGGGAACTCAAGACGAAACCACAGCTGGGTGCCAGTGGCTCACACCTATAATCCTAGCTACTTGGGAGACTAAGATCAGGAGGAGGCCAGCCTGGGCAAATAGTTCATAAGACCCCATCTCCAAAACAACCAGAGCAAAATAGACTGGAGTCATGGCTCAAGTGGAGAGTGCCTGCTTTGCAACCTCAGACCTCTGAGTTCAAACCCCAGTTCCACCAAAAAAAAAAAGAAAAGAAAGAAAGAAAAAAGAAACCAGGTTCAATTGAGAGAAGGCACATTTGATTCTCAGAGGAATCAAATTCTGTTCCCCTTTGTGGCCCTGTCCTCTCTTATCTGGAAACTTCACCTATATAGAATGGGAGGACTTTGGGGGGACCAAAAAACCAAGCAAATACAGTCGAATCTCTGTATTCTTAGGTTCAGCATCCATGAACAGAAAATATTGATAAAAAAGGAAAGAAATTGGGCCAGGAATGGTGGTGCACACCTGCAATCCCAGTACTCAGGAGGCTGAGGCAAGAGGATCAAGAGTTCAAGGTTAGCCTGGGCTCTCTCAAAAAGAAAAAAAGAAATTACACCTGTACTGAACACATAGACCTTTTTTTGTCATCCCGTACATAATATCACATAAGTATTTACACAGCATTTACATTATAAAGGCATTAAAAGTCATCTAAAGATGATTTCAACTGTCTGAGTGGCTGTGCATAGATTATTTGCAAATATTAAGCCATTTTATGCAAGGGACTTGCGTACCCATCAATTTTGTTATCCATGGGGTCCTGGAACAAAATCCCCTGTATACAGAAGTACTGCTCGTTCTGCTGCTCTGATGTCTGCAGACGTGTGTCTGTATAGCAGCCACTAGTCACACATGGTTGTTGAGCTTTTAACATTATCATTGATCCAAATTAAGTGTAAGATACACTCACCAGATTTCAAATTACCTTGTTAATAATTCTGATACAGATTCCATGTTAAATGATACTATTTTTATATATTGGCTTAAATAAATACATTGTTGCAATTTTACATTTTTTGCAGTATTGGAGTTTGAACTACAGGCCTTAAACTTGCACTGTGACTCTTGAGCCATGCCTCTAGCCCTGCTTCCCTTTTTTTGTAGGGTGCTAGGGATGGAACCAAGAGCCTTATGAATGCTAGGCAAGCGCTCTGTCACTGAGCTACATCCCCAGCCTACTCTAGGGTCTTTCATCTCATACTTTACACACAGTCCTAACTTACTTACTGCCAAAGGCAATGCACGGGCTTCAGAGTCAGAGAGATTTGTGCTCCAAGCCCAGCTCCAGCTCATCCCCTCTCTCTTCTTTGTTTCTTTTTGCAGTACTGGGGCTTGATCTCAGGGCCTTCACCTAAGCCACTCCACCATCCCTTTTATGTGATCAGTTTTTCGAGACAGGGTCTCATGAACTATTTGCCCAGGCTGGCTTCCAACTGCAATCCTCCTGATCTCTGCCCCCTGAGTAGCTAGAATTACAGGCGTGAGCCACCAGCGCCCAGCTCATCCTCTTTCTTGCTGCATGACCTGAGATAAGTCCCTTAACCTCCTGGGGCCTCATTTTCCATAGGAGTAAAATGAGCAAAGAAAGAGAACTGTGAAGAGGAAGCGGAAGGTTAGGACTAGCCACTCAACACAGGCCTAACAGATATGTTTCTTAGAGAGCAACCCCCTCCCCAAGATCTCCCCTGCACTCACTGGGGTCACAGTCATTGATGTCCTGATCACAGGAAGGACCAGTGTACCCCCCATGGCAGGTACAGCTGAAACTCCCGGCCAGGTTGGTGCAGGTTCCATGGGGGCCACAGGGTGAGGGGCCGGCACACTCATCCACATCCTGCTGGCATCTCTGACCTGGGGATGAGGAACGAGATATCACTAGGATTAGGTGTAAGACAGGGTCTCAGAGTTCCTGGGGCTCAGGAAGAACCTGCTGGTTGAGATTGGTCAAGGCAAGAACAAGCCATTTGCTTCTGGTCATTTTGATGTGTCATTCCAGAACTCCCTTCCACTTGTCTCATTGGGTGGCAAATGTGTACTCTGAGGTCTCCCCTACAGAAAGGTCCCCAAACTTCTGGTTTGAGTCCTAGCATCCCCCAGCCTCCCATATGGCTTCCTCTTCTCTGGAGCTGACACACACTGAGTGTCCATGTCCAGCTCTGTTCTTTCTTCTCTGGAAGAAGACCCTTTGGTCCTACCCTACTCTTACCTCAGTCTGTGTCCATCATGAGCTCCACCCCTAACTGCACTGTCACTCTCTGCATAGCAAAACTCATAGCCATCAGATTGGTCCTCCCTCAAAGGCAGGATGAGGGTAAATCCCCTCCCTGGGCCCCTAGCATCAGGTAGTATGGGACAAGGTGCAGAGAAGCCAGGCATCATGGTGCACACCTGCAATCCTAGCACTGAGGAGAAGGACTAGACTGTGCTACATAGAGAAACCCTGCTTCAAAAAAAAAAAAAAAAAAGTGTAGAGCAGGCGAAGGAGAGGAGGAGGAGGAAGCAATAGCTACTGTACCTTGCCAGCTGGAGGGACAGGAGCAGATAGCCACCTGGCCAGGGGCAGACTCACAGTGGCCACCATGCTCACAGGGGTTCAGGGTGCAGGGAGACAACACTTCGCACTGACGGCCTGTGGGGGGGAAGGCAGAGTGAGGCAGTCTTCAGGGACTCCATGTTGCCATCTTCCCCATCCCTGAGGTCCCCACCCTAATACCGACCTCCCGGGAAGCTAGTGTGTATATGGGGAAGCAAAAAAAAAAAAAAGGCAAATGCAGAGGACAGAGCAGAGTAGAAAGGAAATGAGAAGGTCGAGAGCATAAGGGGGCCTGGGGAGGGAAGGTGGGTTCACACACCCTGCACTCCAGGAGGACAGGTGCAATGGAAGCCCATCCCATCACTGGTACAGGTACCTCCAGCCTGGCAAGGCTGGGACTCACAGGTATCTCGAGCCAGGCTCTGGCTGCAACGGGGGCCGCTCCACCCAGGCTCACACACACAGCGGAACCTGGCAGGGGATTCAGTCAGGGGTGGCAGGTGGCCAGGGAGGCATCAAGAGGGTAAGGAGTTGGAGAAGGGCCTCACCCGCCAGGTGCATCGTGGCAGACGCCATGATTACAGGGCTCTTGGGCACAGTGATGGGCTGGAGGGAGGCAGAATGGAGGCAAGGAGCCAGGTGGGCAGAGGCAGCGGAAACCATTTTCCCCATCTATGCAGGAGCCTCCCTCGCCACATGGGCTGGACGCACATTCGTTGATCTCCACGTTGCAAAGGGGCCCTGAGAAACACACAGGGAACCTCATCCTAGGACAAGGAGGTAGAGCCAAGCAGGAGGAGACACCTTGTCCCACAGCCATATAGCCCTAAGCAAGGACAACTTCACTCTCGTGATGTGTCTGCTCTTATGCAAATTCGGACAGCCAGCTCCTCAACCCAGAGCTGCCTTAGGACTCCAGATCACCATGGTCTCCAAATTTACACGAAGTCACTGTCATTATCTTGGCATCACTCCAGACACAACCCTGACACATCCCTGAACCTGGACAGCTTCATCTTTGCTCCAGAATATCATGAACCGAAATGGGGACAACCCCGTGCCAATAAGAAAGGACATAACCTCAGGGCACAGTGTGGTCGATGTCCTTGGACACACGGATGCAAAGATGGGGGGGACGGAAGACACGGGGACTTCACCCTCATCTTTCCATGGCAGTGCTTCCCTACCTGTGAAGCCAGGTTGGCAGACACAATCATAGTGGTTGATGCCATCACGACAGACCCCAAAGGTGCAAGGGTTACTGGCACAGTCATCAATGTTGACCTCGCAGTTCACACCTGGGGGAGAGCAACATGGCAAGGAGTAACCAGCACCGTCATGCACCATTTCCAAACCCCCTGTGCCCCTCCAGGTCTGCTATTCCTGCCCCTGCACAGCTCCCAGCCCCACCTGTGGTTCCGGGAGGACAGCGGCAGAGGTATTTGTCCACCAGGTCTAGACATTTGCCCCCATGGCGGCAGGGCTGGCTGCGGCATTCGTCCACCTGGCTCTCACAGCGTGTGCCTGTGTAGCCTGGGGCACAGGCACATGAGAAAGTGGCGATGCCATCAACACAGCGCCCATGGTGGCATGGGTCAGGAGAGCAGTCATCCACATTGTGCTCACACAGTGTGCCCTCGAAACCTGCAGGGCCAGAGCAGAGGGTAAGGCTCCGCCCAATTGCCAAGGGTCCGCCTATAGCAATGGCCTCCACCCAATCCTGGCTCAACTTTGTCTCAGCCATCAGTGGGCAGTCTCAGCACAGGCCCCGCCCCTATCTTGCCTCCACTCCATCCAGCTGCAAGTTCCAAGCCCTGCTCCTGGCCAAGTCCCTCCCATAATTAAATTCCATTTGCTCCCAGTGTGGCCCCACCTCCAGAACTCACAGTCAGCCCCACCCTTTACTGGAGATAGGGGTACAAAGGAAGCGCCTGGGGAAAGCAGAGGGAATTGAACCCGCCCCTGCCATGTGCATGTACCCCTTACCTGCCAGACACTTTGGCCCCACCCCTAGTCTTATCTCAGCCTATTTCTATCATGAGCTCCACCTCCTGTCATTGGCCCTTCCCTGGCCTGGCCTTGTGGAGGCTCCGCCCACAGACTCTCCCAAAGCCTGTTACTGGTTCTGTTCCCCACTAGCCTCGCCTCCAGAGTCTTGCTGGACTGCCATTAGCCCACCCTCACCCTCCGCACAGCGACACTCGTAGCCATCAGGTTGATCCACACATTTGGCACCGTTCCGGCAGGGTGTGCTTGCACATTCGTCCACATCCAGCTGACATGTGGCCCCACTGAAGCCTGGAGGGGAAGTGGGATGAAAGGAGGCCCAAACAGGGTCAAAGCAGTCATTTCTCAGCAGCCCCCGCCTTCTTTAGGTAGGAAAGCCTACTTACCTGGTTTTAAATTAATTTCTATATTTTCACGACGTGGTTTCTATTATAAGGTATTTGCTAATATGCTCTTATAGGTTCCCGCCCTGAAGCTTTTGTCCCTGCAAAGACCTGTCTTTTTCAGACTCGCAGTCCCAGGTTTCTCACCTGAGGGGCAGGTGCAGCTGAAGCCGTTGACTCGATCCTTGCAAACACCGCCATTGACACAAGGACTACTCTGACACTCATCGATGTCCACCTCACAGTATGTGCCTGTGAAGCCTGGGGGTGGAGGGGAGGGGATTAGGGCAATGGGGGGTACCCTCTGGCTTAAAGGAGGTGCAAGGAGGGAGGTAGTCCACTTTCCTGTGCATAGACAGATCCCCTGAGTCTTGGACCCACCCATCCCCAGTTTAATAGTAGATTGTTTTCAATCACAGGCTGAACCCTCACCCAGCAGTGGACCAAGATTTAGGAGACTCCACAGGAGCCTTGCCTTCAAACCATCTGGTTCTCTCCCCCGTCCTTAGACTATGTCCTGACCAACCTCAGGGGCCACCATAGCCTCAAGTTCCACCCTGACATTAATGCAAGACTATCTGCAGGCTCCACCTTCATCCCACTGCAATCGCTGGCCCTGGTCCTTCTAGCGACCCCCTTCCAATCCCAGAAATGGGTTCTAAGACCTCAACTCCTTAACTATTTGAGGTTCTACTGACTCTGTCCCCTCCTCCTGCAGCCTCCAGAAAGATTCAGTTCTGGCCCCGCCCCCACCTCATCTCAGGTTCCAGTATTATTTATTTATTATTTTATTTTGTTGGTGATGCTGGGGATCAAACCCAGGGCCTCACCTCACCTATGCTAAGCACATGCTCTTAACACTGAGCTACATCCCCAGTCCAGGGCTTCACAGGCTTCTCTTGCCCCCACCCAGCCTCAGGACCCGCCCTAGTCACGCCCACCACACACCTGCCATGCAGATGCAGGTGAACTGTCCAATGCGGTCCAGACATGTGGCCTGGTTGCGGCAGGGGCCTGATAGACACTCGTTGACATCTGTCTCACAGCGAGGTCCAGTGTAGCCACGACCACACTGGCACAGGAACGACCCCTGGGTGTTCACGCAGCGGCCCAGATGTTCACAGGGGTTAGCGCCTGCAGGAAGGGGCACAACCAGCATGGACGTGGCCAGAAAGGACCAGCCTCTCCCCTCTTTGTCATCTCATTCTCGGAAGGTATCACTCACCGATGGAACACTCATCCACATCCTGGTCACATGCTCCACCAGTGAAGCCAGGTGGGCAGGTGCAGATGGCCCGGCCATTCACTGGGTTCGTGTCGCAGATAGCATCCTCATGACAGGGGTTGCTGACACAGGCGTCATCCAGATGGCACAGAAGGCCTGAGAAAGCGTAGGAAGAGGTCAAGGGCTGATCCTCCAGCTCTGCTGGATGGTCCCACACCCCACATTTTGTGGGGGAGCGATTGGAGCTGGGGACTGAATCCTGAGTCTTGGGGCATTCAAGGCATGCACTCTACAACTAAGCTATGCTCTTAACCACTTTTTTTATTATTATTATTAACCTGCAATGTACTTAGTGACTAGCTTTTTAAAATCCATTTATTATGAAAAATTTCAAACATACAGAAAAATTGATAATTCATATACCCACCACCTACATTCAACTATTGTTAATTTGTTCATTTTTTTTCCCTAAGCCATTTGAAAATAATTTGGAAACATATTGTTCTAAAATCTACCGACTCAACCAGTATATATATATATATGTATATATAGACTCTTCTGATTTTAAAAGGGTCCTACCCACAAGCCTTTGCTGAGTTGTACCCTTGGCCACATATGCCCTCCTTCCATTGTCAAGTCCTAAACACCTTCTCTGACCTTTGTCATTTCCAAAACTCCTCATTCTTTCTCAGTTACACCTCCCAATAGTTCCCCATTCCAGTGACCTCTGCCTTGGACTGTGTGCCAGCTTCCTCCCAGGACTCTTCTAAACTTGCCCTTCACCCCAAATCCATCCTCCAGCATGCCCTCTTGCTTTCATTCCCTCCTCTTCCTCTGTCTCCTCCCTTCCTCCCTTCCTTTCCTCCTATCTTTCTTTCCTTTTTTCTGGTACTGGGGTTTTGAACTCAGGGTCTCACACTTGCTAGGCAGGTGCTCTACCACTTGAGCCACTCCACCAGCCCTTTTTCATGTTGGGATTTTCAAGATAGGGTCTCTTGAACTATTTGCCTGGGCTGGCTTCAAACCAAGATTCTCCTGATAGCTAGGATTACAGGTGAGAGCCATCGGCACCTGGCCTCCCTCCCTCCCTCCCTCCTTTCCTTTCTTCCTCCCTTCCATCCTTCCTTCTTTTTCTCAGCACAAGGGTATGAAATCAGGATCTTGTACTTGCTAAGCAAACCCTCTACCATTTGATCCATGTTCCCCAGCCCTTTTTTACTTTACAGTAGTTAATTTTTGGATAGGATCTCAAGTTTTTGCCCAGGCCAGCCTCAGACCATGATCCTCCTAATCTTTACCACCAAGTGGTTGGAATTACAAATGTGTACCACCACACTTGGCTTATTTATTGAGATGGGGATCTCCATACTTTTTTTCCCAGGCAGGTCTTGAACCAATCCTCCTGCTCTCCACGTCCCAAGTAGCTGGGATTACGGGAATGAGCCACAGCAATCAGCTCTTCTTTCTTTTCTTGGTGGGGATTGAACCCAGGGCTTGGCACATGCTAAACACACACTATCACTGAGCTACAATCCCAAACCCCATCCTAATCTTTCCAACACTCAAATCAGAGTCTATCTTCACCCCATTCAAGAATCATCAATCACTCCCTGCTATCTCCAAGGAAAGCAGCCACTCACCAGTCTTGCCCATAGGGCAGGCACAGTAGAAAGAGGCCACACGGTCATGGCAGGTGGCCCCATGGAAGCACACAGCTGTGGCACAGTCATCAATATTCTGACTACAGCTCTCGCCTGTCCAGCCATTGACACACACGCAGCTGTGGCCACCCAATGTGTTGAAGCAGGTGCCCCCATTGTGACAGGCATTGGGCTGTAGTTGACACTCGTCCACATCCTCTGTGCAGAACTGGCCTGTGGTACACAGATATACTGGTCTAGTCCCTGGTGTGTGCCAACCTAAGGTGTGCCCCCACCTTGCCTTTGGCCCTGGGACCCACCTGTCCACTCAGGAGGGCACTGGCAGTTGTAAGTGTTAACACCATCCACACATGTCCCCCCATTGAGACAACGGTGTCCTGGACAGTCGTCCACATTGACTTCACAGTTCTGTCCCTCAAAACCTGGTATGGGAGGAGGAGTTGAGGATAACCATTGTGATGCTTGTCCCTACCTTGCTGCCTCCCCCAGGTACCACTCACTTACCAGGAAGGCAGGCACAGTCATAGGTGACATCACCACTCTGCCTACAGGTGCCCCCATTACGGCATGGTGAAGGTGCACAGGGTACTGTGGGGGTCTCGCACAGTGACCCTGTGTAGCCACCTGGGCACTGGCAGCGGAAGGAGCCAGGTGTGTTGAGGCAGGTACCACCATGGCGGCAGAGCCCACCAACCCGGCACTCATCTACATCACTTCGGCAGCTGCGACCCTGGTAGCCAGGTGGGCAGGAGCAGACGAAGCGGCCGTCAGACCCTACCGAGCAGCGAGCACCATGGGCACAAGGACTGCTGAGGCAGGGGTCCGGCAGGGAACAGTCTGGGCCTGGAAGGACCAGGACAGAGTGAGTTTGGGATTAACCACACCCTTGGCTGCCGAGAGCTCCCCTCCAGATCCCACCTCACCTCGGAAACCACGGGGACACCGGCAGGAGAACCGGGCAGTGCCTGCCACCACTGAGCTCTGGCACACACCCCGGCCAGCACAGGGGCCTGAGTGGCAAGGGTCTTCCAGCTGGCACCGCTCACCCACCCAGCCTGGTGGGCACCTGTGAGCAGAGACAGTATGGTGGGGGCAGAACAGGACAGGATGGCCCCAGACAGAGAGACATGCAAGACACACCCAGCAAATGGGCCGGCTAACACACATTCATTTATTCTTGCAATGACTACTTACTAAGCACCTATTACGTGCTAAGTAATAGAAACACAGAAGAAGCATACACAGTAAAAGTGGTTCTTACCCTCTCAATCCTCATAGACAGGCCAGGCAAAGAGAACACAGACAGTAACAAATTAATATACAACATACCACCAGCAGAGGGTACAAGCCATGGGGACTATGAAGGGTGTGGTGGCCCCCAAAAAGACATGCCCATGTTCCAAAACCTGTGCCAATGACCTTATTTAGGGGGAAAAAAAGTCTTTGCAGGTGTAATTACATGGAAGATATCAAGATTGGATCATCCTGGATTATGCAGCAGGCCCCAAGTTGAATGACAAGTATCCTTATAAGAGAAAGGCTAAGCCAGGCAAGATGGCTTATGCCTGTAATCCTAGCTACTTGGGAGGCTGAGATCACTAGGATCACAGTTCGAGTCCAGCTGGAGCAAAACGTTGTAAGATTCCTTCCCTCCCCCCACTCCCACCACCATTCTCAAACAACAGCTAGGTATGGTGGCACATGTCTGTCATTTAAGCTACTCTGGAAGCTCAGATGCGGAGGATGGTGGTTCCAGTCCAGCCCAGCAAAAAAGTTTTTAAAACCCCATCTTGATGGAAAAAAAAAAAAAAAGAAAGAAAGAAAGCTGGGCATAGTGGCCTATGCCTGTCATCCCAGCTATAACAAGAAGCTTAAAATATAAGGATCACAGTCCAGGCCTGCCTTGGCAAAAATGGAGACCCATCTCAAAAAATAACCACAGGGAAAACAAAAGGGTTGGAGGTATGGCTCCAGCAGTGGGAAACCCTGAATTCAACCCCCAGTACCAGGGAGAGGGACAGAGAGGGAGGAGAAGTAGGAGGAGGAGGAGAAGAAAGAAGGAGGAAGAAGGAGGAGTAGGAGGAAGAAGAAGAAGGAAGAAAAGGAAAAGGGGAAGGGGAAGAAGGGGAAGAGGAAGGAGGAGGAAGAAGATGAAGAGGAGGGAGAAAAGGGGGTGGGAGGGAGAAAGGCAGAAGCCTGGGAGGGGTAGCTCAGTGCTAGAGCACGTGCACAGAATGTGTGAGACCCTGGGTTCCATCCCCAGCACTGCAAAGAGAGAGGGAGATTAAGAGAGCAAGAAAGATGGAGAGGGAGAAGGAGGGGAGAGAGACAGAGGACACAGGAGGTTTTAGTAAGAGAAAGCAGAGGTCATGTGCAGACAAAGGCAGAGAATAGAATGAGGCAGCCACAGCTAAGGAAGGCCTGGAGCCATCAGCTGCTGGAAGAGGCAGATTTCTAGCCTGCAGAATTTCCAAAGAGTACATTGCTGTTGTTTTAAGCCACCCAGTTTGAGGTAATTTGTTATAGCAGCCACAGGAAATTCATACACAGCCTGAGTGGAATGGAGACAGTTTCATATTTGCACAGACTAAAGAAGATAAAGAGGGCAAGCAGAGTGGCTCAAGCAGTGAGAGCGCCTGCAAGGGTGAGGCCCTGGGTTCAAAACCCCAGTGCTGTCCCCCCTCCAGCAAAAAAAAGAAGAAAATGAGAAAGGTGTCCACAGGTTGTGTGAGGTCTGGCACTCCAGGCAGTGGGAACAGCAAATGGAAAATCTCAGACTCCCGGAGGCAAGTACCCAGGGCACACACTCAGATAGTTCCAGAAACCACAGAGACACATCCAGAGGGCCACGCCAACTGGACATCTTGGCCTGGCAAACACCGACACCAAGCCACAGCCTCCCACGCGGATATATGGGCAATTCTCACTCACATGGACGGATGGGATGATTCCCAGAGGCTCTCAACAACTTTCTTCCTCCAATGGAGCCCGATTGGGAGTTGGGGTGGACACCTCCGCCCTCATGTTGTGGGGAGATCCTTCAGCCTGACACACACCCCCCCCATTGAAACCTACCAAGGCACCCTTGAGTGTAGGGGAAGTTGAGACCTGAGTGGGGGCGGGGAGGGGGGTTGGGGGAAGCTGGTCTTAACATTACCAGCCTCCAGGGGAGGATGGAGGAGACAGACTGGGGCTCAGCCTCCTCTACCACCCCGGCCCTCTCACCTCCACCCCTCCTATTTGCGCGGGTCCCCTCCCTCCGGCTTGTCCCAGAAACTCAAGCAGGTGACTCAGTTCTCAGCGTCACCCACATTATCCCCCCACCTCGGGCCCAACGAAACAAGTCAGGACACAACCCAGCAAGGGTACGTGCGGGTGGCGTTAGAAGGGGAGGGTGCACCTCTAGGCCCTCTTCTCAAAGGCCAGCAGGGCGACAGCGGCGGTGGCCACGACCACGCGCCGGGAGGAGGAGCACTGCATAGGGGCCAGGAGAACCCGGTCCCACCGCCAGGCAGGGCGCGGCCCCCGCAGCCCCTCCCGGCGCCTCGGGCGGTTTCCCACGCTCTGCGCCCCGCGCCCCCGCCGACCGGTCGGGCCGGTTCCAGCCCCAGCCCGCGCCCCGCCCTAAGGCCTGAGCTTTGGGGGAGACGAGGGGGGGAGCGCGGACTTGGAGGGGGGCGGGCCGGCGGGGGAAGACTAGAAGAGAGGTCTCAGGGGCCTACTTTGGGGACCCATAAGGAGAGTGACAGTTTGGCGCATCCGTAAAAGAACAGGAGTATTTGAGACCTTGAAGGAGATTGTTGGGGGGCTGGGGGACTTAGGGAGTGGTTCCCCTAAAGCCTTGCTCCGGTTCCTGAGCCCACTCCAATCCGAGCGATCCGGGCTCCGGGAGGCGGTTTGCGCCAGTGATTCACCTGTCGAGGGGCGGGGCAGCCTGGGGCTCATTCACCTGTCGGCCGTATTCCAGGCGTGGAGTTCCACTGCGCAGGCGCCTGGCCCGGCAGCTCAGCCTCGCTTGAGAGGGATTCCAGGGAAGGTCACACTGCCCGCCTCCCCTCCACCCCGCCCGCCCCCCATCACTGCTGACTCCCAGCCCCGGGAAGCCCTTCAGCCAGTGTTAGCTCCAAACAGGTGAACACACTTTGGTTCCAAGCAAAGTGTGAACATAACCCCAAACGGATTCTTTTGGGTCTAAAGTCACTCCAAACCCACCCAGCCAGAACCTAGCCCAGTGTCTGGCATACATGGAGTTGAGAAATTAAGACATTAATGAACCAATTAATGAGTACTAGGTGAACTGCTATTACATACATAACATAAAAGGAGTCAAACACATCCCCCCCAAACCTTGAGGGGGTTCCCCTTACAGTACCTATTTCCTGTGTCCCTATCATTATTATTCATAAGTATTTAACATTTACTGTAGGCCAAGCACTCTGCTGATTGCATAATGGGGAGGGTCTCTTAAATCTTTACAGCCAACCCCATAAAGGAAGAGATATTATTGCACCATTTTTTAGATGCAAAAACTGAGGCTCAGAAAGAAGCACTTGCTCAAGGTGTCCCAGAGCTCAGAATTTGAACTGAGCTCTGTTTGCCTTTGCTTGGCTCTTTCCTAGCACCTGTTTTGCTCCTTCCAACCTCCTGCCTTTTCTTGTATTATAGAGCAACTAAATTCTTGGGCTCCTTCACAGTTACAAACTAGGAGAAGTAATCCTATTTCACAGACACAGTGAGGTTCCGAGAGAGGTGACTAGCCCAAGATAACACAGCTAGACAGTGGCTGGGCAGGACTGTATTTAATAAAAGTCTCTTGTACCCCCTCCTCCACTAAATCCTAAGACATAGGAGGGTGTGAATGATGTCCTCACTGCTGCCCGTGGCCTCTACAAGCTTGCTGATTGAATAATAGCTGTCTCAATCAACAGGGTTTTAATTTGGTCTTAGGAGGCCAAAAACCCCAAGAAGTCCCAACTTCGTGGGCCCATTTTCCAGGCTGGGACACTGAGACAAAGCGTTTAAATCCCAGTCAGCAAGAAACTGTGGGATTTGAATCCAGGCCAGACAGACTCGAGAGCCCTGTTCTTAACCATGCTGGATTCCCAAAAGGGAAACATGAGAGGTTGCCCAAGCCACACACATGGAGGAAGCGGTGCAAAGCATCCGCAATAGAGGCAGAGGAAGAAGACTCCCTCCCCACGCAGGGCCCGCTGATGGCGCTGTGCCAGACACTCACAGGCAGGCAGCCTCCCGGGAGGGCAGTTGGGTGCAACGACCTCCATTTGCACACGGGCTTCCGTCCAGGCAAGGGGGAGCTGTGTGGGGGCGAAGGAAGGTGGGGGGGGTCAGCCAGGCATCCAGGAACCCCAAACTAGAGTGACGGCCCCCCTCCCTCCCTCCCTCTGCCAGGCAACAGCTGCATTGGGCTGGGGGTGTCTCTGTGGGTACGAGGAAGCCCCCTCTCTCCAGTTCCCACGGCCCCCCACCCCAGCCCCAGCTGTTGGGGCTGCAGCTGTCTCTGCCAGCTTGAGCCCTGGGAACCACAAGGCAGGGGCGGGAAGGAGGAGGGGCTGACTTGTCCCAGATGTGGGGGCTCAGGAAGCTGCCAGAGTGAAGACTGCAGAATGGGGGGGGTGCAGTCAAGAACTGAGGGTGCTGAACGCTGAATGTTGAGGGTGCTGCAGTTGAGTGCCCAGGTTTTGGGACAGTGGAGGGGGTAGGGAGTGCTGGGCTCCTGTGCGGCTCTTGGGAGAAAGGCCAAGGCATGCATCCAGATGACAACCTGGAAAGCCAGCTTTGGGTGTTGCATGGATGGGGTGTGTGTTGTAGGGAGGGGCAGCTGGCCCAAGACAAGTGCTACCCTGTCCAGTCTCCCCATCCCTGAGGGCTGTGTCCCTCTCGAGTGTGGCATAGTCTACACTGTCCTGCCAGATGGGTGAGAGGTGTGGCCAGGTCTGGGTTAGTGGAGAATTGTGTGTGCAGGCAGGTATGGTGCCACTGTGTGTGTGTGTGGTGTGTTGAGGGGAGAGAGAGAAGAGAAGAGAGGAGACAAGACGAGAGAAAAGAGAGTTGGAGAACAACAGACAGCCAAATATAAAAGAAGAAACCAGAAGCAGGTAGACAGAAACGAGAAGACAGAAAAGGACAGTCACAGAGATGGAAAGGAAGAGGCAGTAAGAGACATGATGAGGCATGAAGTCCTCATGGGACAAGCTGAGAAGACACTATTGCCCAGGCAGGGAACTGTGGGTGTTTGTGAATTCACGCTGAGGGCTGAATGGCATGAGCTTGTGCGTCAATCTGTCTGAATGTCCTTGTGCAGCTAAGTGTGACTGTGTGGGTGGGTGTGAACTGCACACCCATGGAGATGCTTGTGCCATATGCACAAAGCCCTTGCATGTGCGTGCATCCTTCTATGTGAACAGCATTGTCTCCGTGTAGATTTGAGTGTGCACGGGTGTGTCTGTGTGTCAGCACATGTGAGCAGGATATAGGCATGTTCTTGAATCTGTGTCTATTTGTGTGAGTGTGTACCACGCCTTGGGCTGATGTTGTAAGGCATGTGTGCTCATATTTGATTGTGTGTGTGTACATGTCAGTATATGAGCTGTGCGTGTATCTGGGTGTGTCTTGTGTGAGCCAAGTGTGCACTTCTGTGTGCGTGCACATTTGCATCTCTGTGTGTGTGAGAGACCCAGAGCTGTGTGCCTGCCAGTGTGTGACAGGCCATGAGTGTGAGTTGGTCTGCGGGGGCGGAGGCTCCTGCCCCATCCTGCCCGGTGGAGTCCGAAGCTAGGCTGGGGAGGCCGGTCCTTTCCGCACCCCCCACCCCCGCCAAGATCCAGCATTGAGCCCCACAGTGGCGCCCAGGGACCACTGACCCGGGCCATGGGCTCCGCCCCATCCCTGCCGACCAGGTCTCCTGGGACGGGGGTGGGGGCGCCCCCGCAGCCCCCGCTCAGGCTCGGCCGCGGGTCCCGCTTTGTCTGGCAAAGAAAGCGCGAGGCTGGCCGGGGGGAGGGGGTGTCTAGACGGCGCAGCCATTGTCCCGAGCGGGGGAGGGGAGAGAGAGAAGGGGGAGGGGCGGGGGGCCCCCGGACCGCTGGGGAGGGGGTTCAGGCTGCGAGGAGAGGGCGCTGAAGCCCGAGGGGAGCACGTGGGCCTCGCCCCTTCCCCTCTCTGCACAGAGGCGGGTCCCGGCTCTGCGGGATGTCGGCAGCCAAAAGAGGGAGTGGGGCCGTGGGCGGGGGAGGGGGCGCAGGCGGCGCTGTGGCTCCAGCTCTCATTCCGCTCCGGGTCTTGGCGCGCTCCGGCCTGGGAAGTTTTCTCGGAGTTCTGAGCTCGGAGAACTTCGCGCCCCCTCCCCGCCCCCCGCCCGGCCGGCCCGCCTGGGGTGTCGGGGAGAAGGGGGGGGCTTTTGTGCGAGGGGTTCTCAGCTTGGGAACACTAGGACCCCTATCATAACCCTCCCAGTACTCCAAGCAGGGGTCTTATGGAGGCGATCCCCAGACTCGGTACACTCGTCCCAAAACTTGAGTCTCCAATTCCCACACCAAGAGCTCCATGTCTCAGACTCTTGGGTCCCTTATCTCCGGCTTCGATCTCTCAAAGGTCTCTTCTTCTGGTCTCTGGGCCCCTCCCCTCCATTCTGAGTTCCTGCGCCCCTCAGGATTGGCACACAGTCCCCAGCTCCTGCACCTCTATTCTGGCCCTGTTCTCGGGCTCCCAGAACCCTCCCCGCCTCAGACCTGGGGGTTCTTACTTGGCTCCTCCCTCGCCCCCCCCATCCTCCGTCCCACCCTCCAGGACCCCAGCCCCTCACCTGCAGCCCCTGGCCCCGCTAGCAGCAGCAGCAGGGGCAGCGCCCGCACTGGCGGCGGCGGCAGGGACATCGGGCGACGGCGGCGGCGGCGGCCCCGGGCCCCCGGCCCCATGGCGGCCGGCCGCGACCCTCCCTCCTCCCTCCTTCCCTAGGCTCCAGGCGAGTCCCGGGCCAGCCTCCGCGCCGCCAACTTCGCCGAAGTGAGGCTGCTGCGCCGCCCCGCCCCCAGCCCTCGGCCGCTTGCCCCGCCCCGGGGCCGGCCCTGCGCGCCCCCGCCCCCGCCCCCTCGCCCGGCCTCCCGGGGTCCCGGCCCACCCTCTGCCCGCCGAGCCTGGATCTGCGGACCCTGGGAACTGGGCCCGTCACGCAGAGAGATGCGGGCCTAACCTGCATGACAGGCACACCCAGCTCGGGAGCACCCCCACCCCCATCCTCCAGTGCACATCCAGACATGAGGACGCACAGAGCCAGGACACAAACGCAGACATATCACCCCCAGCACCCTCCCCCGACCCCCAAAAAAACCACCTCCAAGCGGAAGTCTTGAGAGGCTAATGAACACGTAGCCACTATGGCACCAATGAAGCCACATGCACGAACTTCATGGAGACACGAAAATCGGAGACACGAACCTGAAACTCAGGCCCAGCCAGGCCATGGGCCTGGGGCGGTCTGTCTGTCCAGCTATGTTCTGGGACAGGAGCTGAAGGTACACTTTACCCCCTGGGGAGGGCTTCCCAGAGGGCTTGACCCTAAAGGAGGGGGTGGAGGGAAGCCACCCCAGCAGAGGAAAGAGCCAGCTCCCAGAGTAGGGACACAGCTGGGAGGGAGAGAGGGCAGGCCAGGGGTCAGGATAGTAACATAAAGCCTAAACCCTGGTATCTGGCTTAGTGATAAAGCTGCTGAACAAAGGAGTGAGTTAATGGGAAAGGGGGCAGGGGTGAGGAGTGGAGGGGTGACAGTGCTAAATCCCAAGAACCCCTTTGGAGTCAGAGGCTGCTGAAAGCTAGGGCTGAGTATAGGAGGGACATCCCAGTGGGAGACAGTCACATGGGTACCCAGAAATCTTTAGGCAGTATTTTAACATCTCAAATCATTTTGTTGTTGTTGTTGGTACTGGGGTTTGAACCTGGAGTCTTAAGCTCGCTGAGCAGGCGCTCTACCACTTGAGCAATTTCACAAGCCCTGTTTTGTGTTGGATTTTTTTTCCCACATAGGGTCTCATGAACTATTTGCCTGAGGCTGGCTTCAAATCCTGATCCTCTTGAGTAGTTAGGATTACAGGTATGAGCCACTGGTGCCCACCTGGCTTCTGAAATCATTTTAAACAGAAAGTTAAGCACACTTTATCACACTCATCTTATAATTTTACACAAATGCACACAAAGAGTATACACATTTTAGTGGTTGGCTGAACTATTTTGAGAGCAGTTCGCAGATGTGATGCTCTTTTGCCCCCAGATACATCACAGTGTATTTGCTGAGAATGAGGGCATTCACCTGCATAAGTGTCCTCGGTTTACTCTTGAAGTTTATATTCAAAGTTCACTGGTTTCTTTCAATAACATTATTCAAAGCATATTGCATTTTTCTTTTTCTTTCTTTCTTTCTTTTTTTTTTTTTTTTTTTTTGCAGTACTGGGGTTTGAACCCAGGGCCTACACCTTGAGCCATTCCACCAACCCTCTTTTGTGATGGGTATTTTTGAGATAGGGTCTCTCAGACTATTCCCTAGGCTGGCTTTGAACCACAATCTTCCTGATCTCTGCCTCCTGAATAGGTAGGATTACAGGTGTGAGCCACTGGCACCTGGCTCAAAGCATATTTCTTTGAAGACCTAGGATCCAATCCCAGATCATGGTTACCATCAATCGTCATGTTTCCTGCTCTCATTTGACATGAATTAGTTCTTCCACATTTGCTGTTCATGACTTTGACATTTTTTGGAGAGATGAGACCAGTTATTTCAAAGGATGTCCCTCAGCTGACTGGCCAACTGGTTCCTCATGCTTAAGTTCAAGTTTGTGCATCTTTGGCAGAACCCAGAAATGCTATAGGTTCTCCCCAGTGCATGGTATTGGGAGGAACCTAACATCAGTCCCCAACACTGGTGATCTGCTGATTTTTTTTTTTTTTGGTGGGATTCTACCACTTGAGCCCCTTCAGTGCATTTTGCTCTGGTTATTTTGGAGATGGGGGTCTCATAAATTATTTGCCTGGGCTGGCCAAACTCTATCCTCCTGATCTCAGTCTCCCCAATAGCTAGGATTACAGACCTAAGCCACAGGCACTCAACTCAAATTTTCCTACTTTGAAGGTACCATTTTTCTCCCATCAGTCCTATTCCTCATTTGTTTGTTTATTTTGAGATGTCGGGAGATCAAACCAGGGCCTTGCACATGCCTGCAAGCATTCTACACTGAGTTACATCCCCAGCCCTTGGATTTTTGAGACAGGGTCTTGCTATGTAGCCCAGGCTGGCCTGGAACTTGAGATCCTCCTGCCTCTAGTTCCCGAGTGCTGGAGTTGCAGGCATGTACCATCATGCTTGGCATCTCTCTTTAAAGTGAACGGTTATCCTGCTGGGAGATACTCTGAGGCTGTATGAATATCCTAGTGGGCATTAAACTTTTGCCCACTGGTTTCTGGCAGTTATTGATTTCCTTTGATTTTTTTCACATCACCTAAAGTTAACCATTTACCATTTTAAACTGTCCAATTCAATGTCATCTTATACATTGACAATGTTATACAATCGTCACCTCTGACTAGTTCCAAGATATTTCTGTCACCCCCAAAGAACTCCCCATCCTCACTAGCAGACTCATAGATTTGCTTCTTCTGGACATTTCATATAAATGGAATCATACAAGATATGACCCTCTTTTTTTTTTTTTTTTTTTTTTTTGGTAGTAGAGCCGGGGTTTGAACTCCTGTTTGCTAGGCAGGTGCTCTACCACTTGAGCCACCCTCCAAGGTCTTTTCCTTTTAGTTCATTTTTCAGTAGGGTCTAGAGTATTTTGCCTGCGCAGACTTCAAACTGAGATCCTCTTACCTCCACCTGCTGCATCACTGGGATTACAGAAGTGTACCATTACCCTTGATGATATTTAAAGGCTGGAAGAAGAAGAGGTAAAGGAGGCTGAAGACAGGTGTCAAAGAGAAAGGAGAAGCATGAAGTAAGGGTGAAAGTTGAATGACTGAGCAGGGACTGGCATCAGAGCTGACTACCCGCCCAGACTGGCAGGTAGCCTGGCTCCAGGGAACAGGAGCTCAAGGAGGCTGTGTCACTACCAGTTCACAGATGCAGCCCTGGGCTGGGAGGGGAACTATCTGCCCAGGTTATGGGTGGAGCTCCATAATTGGAACGGTAATTTGCTGGAGACTTTGTAGAAGAGCTGAGGGTTTGTTTTTGGCTTTTGGTTTTTTTAGTGGAGCTGGGATTTGAACTCAGGGTTTTACACATGCAAAGCAGGTACCCTACCACTTGAGCCTTGAGTCCATTTTGCTCTGGGTATTTTTGGAAATGAGATGTCTTGAACTGTTTATCAGGGCTGTCCTCAAACCTCAATCCTCCTGATGTCCCAAGTAGCTAGGATTACAGGCCTGAACCACTGGTCCCAGCAGAGCAGGGAGTTGGTTGGTTTGGTTGGTTTTGCAGTGTTGAAGATGGAACCCAGGGCCTCATGCATGCTAGGCAAGTGACTCTAAGCCATGTGGAGTGCAGGGAGGGTGGAGAAGGAGGGTAAAGGTTGGGCAGAGAAAAAAAAAAGACAAAGTTGCATAAGAAGGGGGACTGATTCACTGTGAGTGTGCTGAGTCAACTGGCCATCAGACAGGCTGTAAAGTCCATCACCCCAGGAGGAAATCCAAGTCACCCCCCACCCCATTCCTGCAAGCCTGGCTCTCAGGCTCCTTGGGCATGGAAGGGCCCCTCTCTAGGCTCTTATAGCCCGCTATCATCACCGTGTATCAAGCTCTATCTTCACCTAGCAGGCCTGTGATTTCACAGCCTTTGCCAGGTTTACCCCTTCCTTTTGGTGTCCCCCCCCCCACTGACTGCAGATGTATTCTCTTCAAAAATGCACTTTCACCTGGGCGCCAGTGGCTCGCTCCTGTAATCCTACTTGGGAGACAGACCTGGAAGACTGAGGTTCAAGGCCAGCCTGGGCAAATAGTTCATAAGATCCCCATCTCCAAAATAACCAGAGCAAAATGGACTGGAGGGGTGGCTCAGTGGTAGAGCTCCTGCTTTGCAAGTGCAAAAGCCTTGACTTCAAACCCCAGTCCCACAAAAAAAAAAAAAATACACTTTCAGGACTGGGAGCATGGTTCAAGTGACAGAGCACCTGCCTAGCAAGTGCTGTATGTCCCCCCATTCCTGTACCTATTCTTTTATCAAGGGTCCTATCCCAGGAAGCACTCCCACCCTTGAGGCCAAGCCCTCTGCCTGCTCTCCCCCACACCAGGGCTCTCCCAGTGCCTCCTTCTCAGCCTTGTTGGAGGTGTCTAATTCTGTTCTGTCATTCCCCTCCCCCAGGGAAACTGGGGGTTCCTTGAGAACCAGATGGAAGAGGAAGTCCCAGGATCCCCCAGCATGGAATGGGCACAGAGGGGTCAATATGGCAGGATTTGGTAACTCACAAAATAACTGGAAGAGTTGGGATGCCCACCCCAGAGCAATTGCCTTAGGGAGCCTCTTTCAGCACCATTCTGGTTTTGTTTTCTTTACCATTCTGGTTTTGAGGGGTTTTTTAAGCAGCACTGGGGTTTGAACTCAGGGCTTCATGCTTGCTAGGCAGATGCTCTATCACTTGAGCCACACCACCAGCCCTTTTTTGTGTTGGGTATTTTCGAGATAGGGTCTCAGGTACTATTTGCTGGAGTTCACACCATTCTGGGGTCCAGAAAAGGATCTGTGGCTGGAGGGAGCAATCTAGAGCTCCCAGGGAAGGCTAGATCCTCCTCTGAGCTATCTGAGAAGGGACTTTCTTCCAGAACTCTAAGTGGCACTGAGCTCCCCATCAACAAGAAGCAACCAACAGCCTGAACACACATTTCCCCAGGTAGGAAGTCCAGAGTCTGTGACTGTTGAAGAGGCCACCACCCATGGCTTCTAGGAGAGGAAACAGTAATGAGGAAAACACAAGCTGAGCGAACGTGGCTGTGCACATCTGTAATCACAG